ACATAAGAAATAATAAATGCAAGGGGGTAGAGAGTAGCCAATGGGGAGTGACATTTTTCTGTAGGGTGATAAAGAAGCTATTTCTGAGAAGGGGACACTTGGGCAGAGGGCTGGCTGGAGAGAGGAGATGACCGTACGTGTCCAGGGGAGAGGGCTTTCCAGGAGAGAGCTCCCCCAGTGGAGTGTGCTTGGTGAGTGGGAGGACCAGCAAGGAGGCCTGCGGGGCTGGAGCTCCTTGAGCAAGGGGAAGATGTTTGTTCCTGAGGCCAGAGAGAGAACCAAGGCCCACGTTCCGTGGGGCCTCATGGGTCAGGCAACGGCAAGAAATGTGAAAGCTTTCTCAGGGCTCAAGTGCCAATCTAACTGCTGCATGGAGAACACCCGACAGGTGAGCAATAGCAGACGGCGGGAGACCAGCTGGGAACTCATAGCAGTAGTTCTGATGGAAGGCGATGTGGGAGGGATGAGAAGGGATACTATTCAGGGAAAGATTTATTGCTGAATTGATGTAGGTGTGGGAAAAAGAGAAAAGCCAAGGATTCCTCTTTGGTTTTTGGCTCAATCGATCACCTCCTGAAATGGGGAATACCTGGGGTTTAGGTGGAGCGATGCTGTATTAAGTTTGCATGTGTTCAGTTTGGGATATATATCAGGCAATAAAAGGAAGTTCACACTGGCAGTTGGATATATATTCTGTTGTTCAGGGGAGTGGTTGAGGCTGGAGACATAAATTTGGTGGCACTAGTATATAGATGCTGTTTAAGTCTGTGAAACTGGGTTTTGGGAGTGAGTTTAGATGGAGAAAAGGCCCAAGCTTCCCAACTTTTAACAATTGTCAAATAATAAAATAGAGGACCTCCCTCCCCAAATAAAATATTTTAAAAAGCTGAGCTTATTGACGTGCCGGGCAAGGAGAAATTCAGTGAGTAGTTCTCTAAGTAAGAAAGGTCAGAGTCTTTAAAGCTTTAAGAAGCTGGTTACGTGGCAGTCATGCTAATTCAGAACTAAAATTCAGCTCTTTAGATTGGAGAGAGTGAGTTTATAACTGTGTATGTGATTGGTTAAAACAAGTCCCTTGTTCATTAAAGTCCATGAAGGGTCTTGTGTCCTGGGGTCACGTGGAATTCATGGTCTTTGATCTCTGTCAGCTGGTTAAAGTCACTGTAATGAACTACAGTATTCAGACGTGAACTCTCCTAGGCATGTGCTGCCGGAAAGCGGAGAATGTTCATTTTGCAGAGAAAATGGGGAGGATCTGGCAAAGAATAGCAAAGAGGACCTGCCACTGATGTAGGAGGCAAGGAGCATGGCAACCAAGGATCACATGGTCAGCAAGACGTGAGGAATCCAAGAAGTAGGGATGGTTGGCAGGGTCCAGTGCTGCGTAGAGGTTGAGGAAGGTAAGGACTGAGATGTGGCCAGTGTATCTGCACCTTCGGGTCTCCAGTGACCTTGACCTGGAGTAGTAGAGACAATCTTGACTTTACTGAGTTAAAGAGAAAATGGGAGGGAAGAAGTGGAGACAGGAACATAGACAAATCTAAGAGACTGATCCATGAGAAAGAGCAGAGTAATGGGACAATGCCTGAAGGAGAGCATGAAGGTCAGGGAAATTTTTTTCTTTTTCTTACTACTTAGGATGATATGTGTTTGTCACAGATAATATTGATGCAGTAGAAGGGGGATTGTTGATGTAGGAGAAAGGGGGGACCTTGTGAGAGCAGATTTCTTGAAAAGGGGTGAGGCTAGCACCCAGGTGGAAGGCTGCCCCCGCTCTGAGTGTACTCAGTGCGTAACAGGAGACAAGGTAGCATGTAGGGCTCGTGACCCCTGTAAGGTGGTAGATTTGCTTCTCCTTTCTCAATGAAATAAGAAACAAGATTACTAGCTGCAAATGTGCAGGAATGGGGGTAATGGGAGGCGTGAGAGGTAAGGGAAAGTTGGAAGTGACGGTGTGGCGAGAGCGAAGGTAAGTGGAGCGCGTCAGGGGATGCGGAAGGACTCCTGGGAGTCCTGAGCGCTCTCTCCGGGTGTGTGGTTAGGAACTTAAAGTGAGACTTGTCAGCATTGGGGCATATCCCTCCTCCCCCACCCCGACATTCAGCCACTCAGGACAGTTGTGAAGGAGGAAAGAGGCAAAGGAGTTGCAGCGTTTGCAAGGGGATTGTTACTGCGATGAACCCTGGGACTCTCTGACGGCACGAGGAGGTGACACTGTGGAAAGAGTTGTGTCAAGAAGTTGGGGGTTTTGCTCTGCCTGCACACCCTGCGGCACCTGGAAAGGGCTCAGGAAAAAACAAAAACCCCAAACCCTGAAGCAGTGTTACCTGTCACCTATCGACAATGCCTTCAGTCCGGAGAGCGTGCCTTCACTTGTCTCTCCTCAGGCGAGTGGTGGCCTCGGCCAGGAACTTGAAAGCTCTTGCTCCTGCTTTCCCCTTTCCTTTGCTTTTCACCCCTCTTCCCCACGGTCCAAGACACACTCTTCCTGAGCCAGCGTGTCTTAACTCACACCTTCAGCCATACGTCGGTTCTGGTCAGGCCAATTTCACTCCGGATCCTCCCATTTTTCAGAGGGAAAGCCCCCAAAACAAGGCTTTCTCTCGCCTAAGCAGATTGCTTCTCATGGCATCACTTGTCCCTATGTTGGGGTGGGGGTAGGGAGGGGAGGGAACGCGGAGGCAGCACAGTCTGTTCCCAGCCCTTGCTAAATTCAAAAGTGTTTCCTTTATATTCTAAGTTTATAAGTATTCTAGGAGCTGTGACTAGAACTCACGTCTGTCTCAGTGCTTTAGACATTGGCAAACAACTTCCCTCATGCCGGCTGTGTTTTTCTTGGTCTTTTCCTTTTCAGGTGAGGAGGCCCATCCTTTTGGTTGATCTCCCTGTTTGTACCTCCAGCCTCATCCAGTAAATCTGTCCCCGCTGCCCTCTGAGAGCCCTGCACGCTCAGCCTGCTGGCAGAAATTCTAGGAGTTCCTGTAAGGGCGAGGCAGAAATTCCTGCTTTCTCTCCAGTACTCGGCTTTGAAGATAGCCAATAATTTATTGGCAGTTTTTGGATACAGAACGCTTTAAGCTTCTTTAGGTGTGACCCGCAGTGGTACCCATGGCTCTTTGCTGGGCCGTGATTCTGTTTTCAGAGACCTTTCTTTTGAATGGTTTCAGATATTATTCTGTCCCTGAATATATAACCTGGCCCTTGTCCATATTGAAAGTCATCTCTCATTCTGTGCCCACTCACAGAGTCATAAGTGCTTCCTGAAGTCCAGCTCTATCTGCTTGGTGCTCCACATTCAGGAATAAGTTAATACCGTTCCTAAACTGTATGTTTAAGAAAAATGACCTCACTTGGAAATCAGGAAATACAGCTAGGCTTGATCTTCCTGTTGCTTCAGAAGTACTAAAAATTTGAGCCACATGTATGACTCAGACATAGAAGTGCTAATTTTTATTCACATAAAGGTCTTTGTAGGGGCTAGTTGCCAGAATCTTCTCAGACTCCTCACACTGGTGTCCTATTCTGGAGTATGCTCAGCGGTGACCTCTGACCTTTGCCATTGCCCTGTGGGGGGCCCTGAATGGCCCTGTAGGAGCTGTAGAACACCCTGCAGTAGTTCGTGGGGGTCCATGAAGGCGGAAAAAAAACTGTGGGTGATAGCATCAGACCAGCCTAGTCTGTTGTCCCTGGTCTACTTGTTGGGTGGCGACAATCAGAATATCAAACTTCTCTCCACCTCAGTTTCCCTGGCTACAAAATGAGGACCAACAATAGTACTTATTCACAAAGTTGTTGTAAGAAGTGAATGTAATCTGACACTGAAAGTACTTAGCATAGTGCCTGGTCCATATGTGCTTAATTCATATGATTAATTATTTGAAAGTCTAATAAACTCAAGCCTGCCCCCAAGGAGACCTAGCTGGCCTTTGGCGTCACCTCTCTCAGCCCTGCTGCCCGTCTATAAAACAGAAGCTATGAGGGTGAAATGAGATGGCTTCTCTCTGAAACTTCCTAGCAGAGATCCTGACCTCTTTCCGTGCATTTCCTCTGAGCCATTGTGTAGAAATGCTACCAGAAAGATGTATCTGGGCTGCGTATTTGTTTCCTAAACAGAACTTATTCCCTAACCCTTCTTTCTCTAACAGAAAAAGCTTTGCACACCATAAAACATTAGCAAAAATAGTGATTGAGTTGGGGATTTCAGGGAAGAACTGCATAAGAGCCTGTAATGTGTGTTCATTTGATTTGTAGATTAATTAATTTTTTAAAAGTCTAATAAACTTGAGCCTGCCCCCAAGTAAACCTGTGTAGCCTTGGATGAAATTACTTTTCACCACACAAAACCCACTCAAGGTTCCATTATGCAAAGGAATAATGTTGCTTTTGCTCCTTTTCTCTCAATCCTTTTTTCTCTTATGCAGATAAGATATATTAATCCTTTGTGGCTTTCTGGACTCTTGGCTATGTGAGGGGAAAAAAAAAACCCATCACCTAGCTTTAAAAAAAATAACATAATCATCAAAAACTCATAACTTCTTAGTGCAATTCCAACCTTCTCATTGATAAGGCAATAACCCAAGCAAACAACATTTAATGAAGTTACAAGTCTGAACATAGAGTAGAGGTAAAGCATTCTTTGGGTGGGATGAGTGGAAGTCCTCTATAAAGTTGCACAAATTCTTATAGGCAGAAGAGACTTTGGACAGAGCTGTTAGACCAAGCCATCAAGTATCCTGCCTTCTAGTTCGTCTCCCAGAGATCTTCGGCATGGCCTTGGTCACAAGACTCAGACTTCTTAGATTTGGCTGCCCTCAGTAACAAATGTACCTTGAAGTCCTGATGTTTATCCTATGTTCTAGTGGCTCAGTCTTTTCTACCTCATTTTCCAATGGATGTCATGAAAGCCTCTTATGAACTTTCTTTTGTAAGTGATATGAATGACAGCTAAAAAGATGCATCCCAAGCACATTCATTATTATTCTCTTTGTTTTTACATCCAGGTCACAGCTCCTTAGAATCACCGACAAATCTGCCTTCTCTTCCTCCTGATTCTTTTGCATGGAATTTGACCTGGATAATGAAAGATTCCTTCCCTTTCCTGTCTCATCGCAGCCGATATGGTAAGTATATTTCTGATGCACAATCACCATCTCATAATTAAGGAAGTTGTAAATTTCAGTGTGATATCTATTCATGGCTCTCCATGGACCCCTCAACCCCCTATACACAAAGGAAGTCTTTCTGTGGTCTTCCATGGGCACCCAGGCCTGTCCCCTCCAGACCCACAGTTGCATTCTGTATCCTGAAGGACACTAAGGGCTTTATTGCTGGCGTACCGCACCGCCCCCAGCCTTTGCGGTGTTCCCAGCATCCCCTTACTGATCGTTAGATGTAATGCTTATTTGCATTTTGACTGTGATTTTCCAGATAAAGGGTTCTAACCCATGAGTGTTTTTAATAATGGTGATCTCTTGAGAGAAGGTTGTTTCTATGAGGCTTGCAGGTCTTCTGGGACCCTCAGGTGACTCCCTGACATTTGGTATCTCCTTGAAGGTACCTAAACATGTTTCTGGATATTATTTCAGTTCATTTGATCCTGCAATAATCTTAGGGGTAGGAGGCCAAGTCTCGTTATGTTTTAACAAATGTAGAAACTGAGCCTAATAAGATCACACAGAGTAGATTCTCTAACTACAAATCTAGAATTCTTTCCTGATGTTCATTTTGTCTCCCAGGGCTCTATCTGCCTACTCAGCCTGCTAGGTCCTATCCTAGGAGCCCTCAGGAGGCCATATTCACATGAGGTAGGATTCCTTCTTCCCTGTGCTCATCCTAACAGCTCATAGGAGCTAGGTCTGTGCAGAGGAATGAGCAGCCCTGGAGGAGAGCTGCCGTATTTCCAGGTGGACATCTTCTTCTCTTAAACTCCTCTAGAGTGAACTCCATGAGGGCAGGCACTAAGCTGTGTTTGTTCCTCACATTATCCCATCACATAGAAAACACTTATAAAGGTGGTGCATGAGAGAGCAATGCAGAAGGTTTCCAGGGATGGAACTCACTCATTGGGCTTGATTCAATGAAATATTGATGAACGTGGTACAGCACTGAGTTCTGGATCCCTTCTGGGTATATTTACCTATTCCAGATACTCAGTCTCTGCCCTTGAGCCTGAGCTTTTTAAAATGCACCTAACAGAGATTTTCCACTCACTGCTGTCCCTCATCCATAATGCAGATAGTCTTGGTTAATAATAGTTGTACCTTTCATTTAAAACTTAAAAAAATAAATGCATCAAAAACCCTAAGGCAGTTTAGGATTATACTCTGCTGGGATGTTCCCTCCTCGTCCTAAGCCTCCCCAGTGGGAGAGGAAGATCAGTAGTTGTAAGGAGATTCTAGATAAGAATTTCTTCTTGATTTTATTTAACCCAGACATTGAATGTCGTCTTATAATAAGGGGAAGTGTCTATAAATAATTGAAATATGGCCCTTTGTATCATTATTGCCTTTTAACCAGATTTGTGGTACAAACTGGTCTTTGGATAATATTTTTGAATTTGCTTTCCAGGTCATTCAGTATCTCCACAGAATGACAACTTTTATAAAATGCAAAATATCCAAAAAAGGCAGGTTTACCCCCTGCATGACACAGAGGACACTGCATTTATTCTCTGTGGCAGAGAAAAAAGTTGCAGGTTGAGAGGCGGGCTTATCCAGCTGCTGCCTACCACTGACAGGCCCTGATACACCTACTCCCTCTCCCTGGGCCTTGTCTTTCTTGTCTGTATAGTTAGGATGGAGGGGCAAATGAATAGATCTGGAGGATTCCAGAGGTCCCTTTCGGACTCTCCTTGTCACCCAGAATCCTCATGGTTTTCCTTCTTGAGAGAGGAGAGAACCCCAGGGCACCAGCGCTGAGGACTCACCCTGAGACCCACTGCAGAGCAAACTAAAAGCAGGGTTAGGGCGTGACGGGGCTCCGCCCACATCTCTCCATGAATCAAAGAGGCCACCAGGTTCAGCAGTGATAAATTCACACCTTTCTGCAGCCTAACATGAAAGGTATTTTAAGAAATGTTAACAACTTCATTAATTTTAAGTCCTCAAACTGAGGCAGAGAAATTTGACTAGAAAATTGCCGCCTGAAGGGGTAGTTCTTCAGACAGTGAGAAGTAATCAAGTCTCAGCGAGTCGATGCAGGCACTTGAGTGATGGAGCTTTGCGCCTGGCGTCTGTCTTCATCTGCCTTCTGGGGAGGAGTCAGGAGGAGTGACGAGAGTAGGCCTCGCCAGCCTGGCCACAGGCCTCATGACACACAGCGGCAGGCCAGCCCTGTCAGGCAGGCTGTCCAGTCCTGTGTGGAGTGTGGCTTTCTTTTCACCAGTGTTTTATGAGCAGAGACAAACTACAGGGAGGCTAGTAAGATTTACTCAGTCCCAGCCTATAATTATCTGCTTGAGGAAAAAGTTTGACCTACCTTTTTGAAGTCTCCCTATATTTCCTCTATCTTACATTGGGGTCTTTTATGTTGTGTAAAATATATTCTCTTCCCTGGCATTTGGTATCAGATTTCAGTTCTTGCTGGCCTCCTGTCTTGAGTGACAGAGGCTGCTAATTTCATCACGGACAAGCAAGGGCTGTCCATTCATCCCCCTAGGCTTTGAAGGAGGGAGGATATCTAAAGACAGACTTCGTTTTTTTCCTTTTATCATCAGCTCTGATGCCTTAAGACTTATTTATAGACTTGACTACAAGGATTGGGCTCTAACTACCTACCCAGATAAAAATCTCTTCCATCCATTAGCTCCAGGTGCTGAGAAATTAAGGCCACTGTGGGGTTTGATGACTCATTGCGGGGCACTAAGTTCTAGAGCCCCAGCACAGATGGTATCCCACCGGACCATAACTCATGTTTGCTCACTCTGGGTGTGGGGAAAATCAGACCAACATTTCAAACAGAATAACCAAAGGTTCTGGCCCAAATGAAGAGGGGAAAGAGAATTTTCATGTGTTTTTAAAAAAGTTTGATACTTTACAAAACTCTTTCATAACCCCTTTTCTAATTTAAGCTTGTTATGAAATGGTGGTAGGTGGATATTATTTCATAGAACATTTTTATAGAAATGTAAATCGGGGGCCAAAGAAGTTTATTAATTGTGCTCCCAAGTTATGGAGCAGCTGTACAGTCAGGAAAGACTAAATCCAGATTTTTTGACACCAAGTTGAATGCTCTTTCTACCATATCACACAGTTAATTCAAAGATAAAGTCTCCTCTAAATAAAGGGGTTCTCACTTCCTAGACAACCTGATATTGGAAGTGCATGACAGGTCTGATATTCAAGATCTGGGCAGCTGTAGGACCAAGACTTGATGTCCCTAAATTGAAACTGTCCCAGGCAGGCCAAATAATTCACATCTTCCTAAATGTGGGTATAGGCCCCCAGGTACCATGGTCCATCTTATCTTCCCCACCAGAGCCTGTGGTCCCTGTTATCAATTGAATTGTGTACACCTAGTACCTGGGAATGTGATTTTATCTGGGAACAAGGTCTTTGCAGATGCAATCAAGTTGAGTCTGTTCTGGATTAGAGCGAGCTAATTCAGAATAATTGGTGTCTTTATCATAAGAGTAAATAGACAAAGCCGCACACACAGAGTGAGCACCATACAAAGATGGAGGCAGGGATTAGTGATGTACCTACAAGCCAAGGGTTGCTGGCAGTCACCCCAGGATATGAGAAAGACACAGGGCAGATTCTCCCCTAGAGCTGTCGAGGAGAGCATGGCCCTGATGACATGTTAATTCTGGACATCGGGCCTCCAGAATGTGAGAGAATGAATTTCTGTTGTTTTAAGCGCCGCCCCCCGCCTCCCACCCCCGTCACAGTTTGTGGTACTTTGTTACGTCAGCTCTAATAAACTAATACAATTCTTCATCCTTCCAGTTCTCCAATATCCAGAACATTAACTCCTGGAAAAGAAAAATTCCTTTCAACACCTCAACATCAGGGCACAACAAAGGCCTTGTTGGACTTCAAATAAAACTGCTATCTAAACTTTGCCTGCTTTCAAACCCATGGGACCACCCAATTTGGGGACTGGTGCTTTTGAAATGGAAGAAAAATTAGACTTTTAAATTATTTTCCCTGCTGTCGCTACCACTATCACCTGTCCTGTTAATATATCAATTTTTTTGATTGAAAAGACTAAGTAAATTCAATATATTTCTCCCTCAAAAAAAAAAAAAAATCAACCTACCACAGAATCAAAAATCGTAAACAAAAGGCCTTCCAGTCTCCTGTAGGATTTGCTTCATAGCTCTGGCAGGAAGTCAGTTTGATCCCATTTCTGAAATTACGTATTGAATGTGGCTGGCCGTGATCAGCCATTCCAGAGCCTGGAATCACTGAAAAGCAGCTCCCAGCTCCCTTGTGGACCATTGTCAGGGCCGAAAGCTTTCTTACCAATTCTTCTGCCCTGACAGGCCAGGCCTTTTTGGGTTCTCTTCCCATCCCTGCTCTATTGAGCTGGGAAGTCAAGTTCTTTCCTACTCCATGCTACTGCACTTTTATCTACAACATGGTAAGCAAAAGGCTCCTGGCTGCATTCACCATAAAGTCTGAGTCCCAAAGGGGACAGCAATGCAAGCAGTCATACAAGACCAAAAGCAGGGAACATTTGTCACCCTGAGGACCACTGGCCTGCTGGGAGCCAATGAACTCAACCCATGAAAATTAAATAAAGAGCAGTTGACTCAGGCGTTTCAAGGAGAGACTTATTTAAAATGCTCCACTTGATCATATCTTGTACCTTTGAAATGAAGACACAGAGATCCACTCAATAAATACCAACAATTATTTCTGTTAGTGACAGATTGAATAAAAAGAAGAAAGGAAACAAGTCAGATTAAAGTATAATAAATGATTAACCAGCTGGCACAAAGACAAGAAAAGCAAGTCAAAAAGAGATCCATTTAAAATAATTGTCACAGCCAGAGCAAAGAAAAGGGAAAGAAAGAGGTGCATGAGGGACAGAAAGAGAGAGAGAGAAACTGAGAGCAAGGGAGACAGCCAGACAGTCATGGGGAGGATCACCCAGGGCTGTCTGGGCTTCTGTCCAT